AATAAAAATAAATAAATAAAACTGGAATGGGAGCTGAAGCCAGGTTCTGAGCCAGGTACCCACAGGGGTGTCTGCTGTGACTGGGCCCCACACCACCTCTACCTTCCTCCTATCAGACTGTCCAGGGGCCTAGCGGCAAGTCATCCCCAGCTGAGTCCCTATTCAGTCCTGAGTGAAACTCCTGCTGTCTCCCCTGGCCCTGCCCCCACCCCTGCCTGGCCAGTTTCTGGTTCAATAAAGTTCTCTTTGTTCTCTGGGTGGCCTGGGCTCAGGTGACATCCGCTCTCGCACAGGCTCTTCTGCAGCAGCTCAGGAGTGGGCCTGGCAGCCAACCTTGACCTGGGAGGCCCCCAGTACAAGGGCTATGGGACTATAGTAACAACCCCAAGCATAAGTCTCTTGCTTCACAGATCTGGGGTCCTTAAGCCCAGACGTAAGGTGTGCCCCACCCCCACCTCACCTTCCTTGGCTGGTCCGCATTACCACTGGACCTCCATATCTCCCCGTCTCCCATTGGACACAGGACTTGCCCTAATTCCAGGATGATTGTATTTGAGATCTCCAGTTGCATCTGCCAAGAGGCTCGTGGAGTCAGACTGCATTCCTGGGCTCCGGAGCTTGGTCTCGGGGACCATTATCCCATCCCTACAGACAGTTTCCTCAAAGCCCAGCAGGTGGTTCCAGCTCCCAGGACTGTGTCCCCTCAGAGACCATGACCTTTGGCACCAGGACCTGGATAAAGCAACCACTGGCAAAGCCAGAAATAGAGGGTGGTCATTCCTGTTGTGGGGACGATGACCAAGGTCCTACCCATCTGTACATGGTGTCCACTCTGCACTAAGGAGCAAGGAAGACTATGGATGTGTGAGGAGACTGACCGTGGGACCCACCCTCAAAGCTTGGCCATAGAACTGTTGCTGGCTGTTGGCTGAGCAATGGGGCAGATAATAAATAAAGTTATTTGCTAGCTAAGCAACAGTCCTGGACACAATCCTCTTGTCCCAGGCCACACGTACGGCCACGTGCACAATGGCCCTGACTGCCCTGAGCTTGACAGGCAGTCCTCTCGAGGCCTGGGGACTCGCTGGTACCTGCTCACATTGGGGTTTCAGCCTGGGGTGGGTGGTGCAAGAGGGGCTCGGCCCAGGTGGGCAGCTGACCCCATCATGAGTCCTGGTTAACTTAAAGCAGCCAGCTTTACATTAGGGGTCTGGCTTTGCAGTAGGCAGGACCTCTTTCTGTGGGTTCAGGTAGTCAGATTCCCCCCTCACACACCGTGATCCTTTATCTGTAAAGCGCCACCCTGAGCCAGCTTCTAGACATGGACCTCTGTGTGTAACCTGCCCCTTGGGCTTGGGGAGTCCAAGGCACTGGATGCTGCCTCCTCTGTGGTGCTGCCCTGCCTGTCCATGTCCCTGAGGTTCTCCCAAGGAACCAGCATCCATCCAGTGCAGTCGTTCCACAAAGGGAGTGTTGTTAAAGGGGAAGACCTCAGCAGCTCCCCCTTCACCGCCTCCCAGGGTACCTGGTAGGGAAGACGCCCACCTCCCACTGCTTCCCTCTCTCTCAACTGAGGGGTGGGCGGTGCAAGGGATTCCAGCCAATCTGAAGTGCCATTGAGATGTTAACCACGCAGAGGGGTGCCACCTCCATATCAATGATGTTACATTTGAAGCCCCAGCCTTAACTCTTCAATCCCCAGGATCTGACTGCATCCAGGATCTGACTGCATCCGCCCTGCCCCTCCTGCAGCACTGCTTGGCACCCTGGAGGGGTTGGGAAGTGCACAAACCACCCAGAATGACTGCCATAGGTTTGTGGGTCTAGCTGCTGTGGGTCCCTAACATGGCCTGGGCCCAGAGGAGAGCTAAAGGCCGAGCACACCCACCCACTCCTGCATCCACCCATGAGTGGTTCCTCCAGCCTCCCTCGTCCCGAAGCCTTGAGATGGGCTGTTTTGTCTAGTCCTAGAGGCCAAGAGTGTGTGTGTTTGTGGGGTGGGGGAGTGTTCATGTCCACTTCCTCCAAGTGACAAACTCTGTGCACAGTGGCCTGTCCCACCTGCTTGAGTTGGACATATTGGACCAGAGCAGGATTAGGGTCTGCAAATTTGGATCCTCCACAAATTGTGTGTGTCACACACGTGTATATACACACACAATGAAAATGCTCAGGGTCTGGAGTTGCCTGGGTTGCTGGGGGTCAGCCTGAGACAAGACCCAATTTAGGATTTGCCAGGACACAGGATGCAACAGTTAACCTAGGAGCGTGCCGACCAGCTGGGCTGAGTGGAACCCCCAAGGCTGTGTGAGACGGGTTTTTTCAGGGCTTGCAGAGGGTGGTGGGGTGGGGGGCCCTTTCCGAGACCCAGGCTGGCTGCCCAACACCTGCCCAAACCTGTGTAGCCAGATTCCTAGCAGCCCCCAAAGGCAGTGAGGGGGGAGCCTCTATTTGCCCTTCTTTTTAGCCATACCCACCCTTCAAGCCCTGGCCCCACCCCTAGCCTCCCAGCCTTCACCAGCCTTCACCCTGGCCAGCCTCTGCCCACTGCTCTCCATCCTCCCTGCTGCCACCGATCCTGCCCCATACACGGGGAGCCCCAGCTGGTTGGAGGCACTGGGGTGGGAGAGGAAGCGCCCTCTTGATCCTCCCTTGCAGACCTGCGGAATACAGGGTGGGAGACCCAAACCCCAAACGCTTTCTGGGGTCTCACATTCCTTGGCGAATCTGGTGAACGCCAGAACCTTCCAAAGACCACTAAAACCTACGCCCAGCGCCCATGTTCCCACCCTTGGGCTCTGACCCGGAACAACCACTAAAGTTAGAGCCCTTGGTGAAGGCTATTGCTCCCCTGTGTTAGTCCCTCCCTGCCCCTCCTGTAGCACTGCTTGGCACCCTGGAGGGGTTGGGAAGTGCACAAACCATCCAGAATGACTGCCATAGGTTTGTGGGTCTAGCTGCTGTGGGTCCCAGACATTCCTGGTTCACTCCCCAAATTCCTACAACAGCCAGTGGCTAGGAACTCCTCCCGGGTCTCCCACGTGGGTGCAGGGTCGTCTGTACAGAGACCACCATCCACTGCCTTGTCTGGAGCATCAGCAGGTTAAGGCACCACCTGCAGTGCTAGCAACTTGGTTAACTCCACTTCCGGTCCAGCTCCCTGCACAAGTCCTTGGGACCCTACACTCACATGGGAGACCAAGAAGAAGCTCCTGGCTCCCATCTGGATCATCTCAGCTCTGGCCATTACAGCCAAATGGAGAGTGAGCCAGTGGATAAAAGACTTCTCCCTCTATCTCTACTTATCTGTGTAAATCTGACGTTCAAATAAAAATAATAGGTAATTTTTTGGGGGGGGAGCCTGGTGACATAGCGGCTAAAAGTCCTCGCCTTGAATGTGCCGGGATCCCATATGGGCGCTGGTTCTAATCCTGGCAGTTCCACTTCCCATCCAGCTCCCTGCTTGTGGCCTGGAAAAGCAGTCCAGGACAGCCCAAGGCTTTTGGATCCTGCACCCATGTGGGAGATCTGGAAAGAAGTTCCTGGCTCCTGGCTCCGGATCGCCACAGCACCGGCCATTGTGGTCACTTGGGGAGTAAGTCATCTTCCTCTCTAACTCTCCTCCTCTCTGTATATCTCACTTTGTAATCATAAATAAATAAATCTTTAAAAAATATATATAATTTTTAAAGTGAAGAACCAGGGATTCAAATAAGCTCTTTAATTGTGGGACATTGGCATCTAAAACTACCACAAAGTTTGCCCCACCCAAACGGGTTTTTGCCAAGAAAGTCAGAGACTTGACCACTAGGATCAGGAATTGAGCTTTGATCTGACATGTATGACTTCCAGACTGCCCTTGGAAAGAGATCTTTTTTTTGTGAAGCAGAAGGCAGGGTTTGGGGACACTAGGTCTCACGCCGCCCCCCTTGGCCACTTCCTCTAGAGTCCAGCCACCCCGTTATGCACGGGTGAAGGGAGCTGGGCCCCGAGCTGCACCCCTGCCCTGGGTTCCTGCCTTTTCCCCTTCCTTGGCCCCCTTCACACTACAGGTCTGGGTGTGTCCCTCCCCCACCTCCACAATGGGTTGTTTCTCTGGGGGCCTCTGGAAATCTTCAACAGCTCAGCTCAGCCCCCCAGTTTCTGCAGTACAGGTAGCGAGGGCACACCTTAGCTGCAGGGACTGGCAGGAGGGAGGTTTTCTAGGTCGTTGCCAAGGCAATGCCACCTGAGCTGGCTGCCAGGCACCTGTTGCCAGGGGAACTCTGCCAGCGGGGCTCTCTGGGGAGTTGCTGTGAGGGCCCCAATGGCTGAGACTGGAGACAGATCAGATTCCGGAGTCCTGGGTGTGCGGGTGGTGAGGGGGGTAGGGGAGAGCGATACTGGGGAGCTGGAGCTTGTTTGCATCATGAAAGACAGTGGGGCCCGGGGGTGGGAGGCCAGGGAGGAGGTAGGCCCAAGGGGGCATGACTGGGGACCCTGTGATACTTCTTGTATCCCAGCCCATTGTCTTTAGCGGGACCTGGATTCCTTATTTGGCAGTTCCTCCTAGGTCTTCCCAGATCCTTTGTCCCTGTTTCCTACAGGCTGGGGAGTTCTTCCCCTCCCTGACCCTCAGGTCCCCTCATTCCACTCCCTGCCCACGCACTCCAGCCCCCTCCTCTCAGTCGCTCAGGTTTCCCCACTGGCAGCCTCCACAACCTAGCTCCGCTCCTCCCCTGCCTGGGCCTTAAAAGCCCTGCCTGCTGCAGGAGGTGGCACAATCCCCGCTGGAACCCAGAGAGGGAGCAAGAACGGGCCAGCAGCAAGAGGACGCAGCTCCCCTCCCAGCCTGGATGTAGCCGCAGTACACCTGACTGACACGAGCCCCTGCGAGGACACAAAGCCAGGCTGCTGTGCAGGACGGTGAGACGGAAGCCCGGCCAGGGTCAGAGGCACCTTCCCAGGAGGCTGCAAATGACAGAACAGTCCTAGGTCTTCCTGCTCTCTGCACCAAGCAGGCCACCGGGGCTCAGAACGTGTGGCTGAGGGCACAGATGGCTTCGGCAGGCCTGGAGCTCCTGGGGATGACCCTGGCCGTGCTGGGATGGCTGGGAACCCTGGTGTCCTGCGCCCTGCCACTGTGGAAGGTGACCGCCTTCATCGGCAACAGCATCGTGGTGGCCCAGGTGGTGTGGGAGGGGCTGTGGATGTCCTGCGTGGTGCAGAGCACGGGCCAGATGCAGTGCAAGGTGTACGACTCGTTGCTGGCGCTGCCCCAGGACCTGCAGGCTGCCCGCGCCCTCTGTGTCGTTGCCCTGCTGCTGGCCCTGCTTGGCCTGCTGGTGGCTATCACAGGCGCACAGTGCACCACCTGCGTGGAGGATGAGGGTGCCAAGGCCCGCATCGTGCTCACAGCGGGAGTGATCCTTCTCCTGGCCGGCACCCTGGTGCTCATCCCGGTCTGCTGGACAGCCCACGCCATCATCCAGGACTTCTACAACCCGCTGGTGGCCGAAGCCCTCAAGCGGGAGCTCGGGGCCTCCCTCTACGTGGGCTGGGCAGCGGCTGCCCTGCTTATGCTGGGCGGGGGGCTCCTTTGCTGCACCTGCCCCCCAGCCCAGTTGGAGCCACCCCGTGGGCCTCGGCTGGGCTACTCCATTCCCTCCCGCTCGGGGGCTTCGGGGTTGGACAAAAGGGACTATGTGTGAGGTGGAGGCGTGGGCTGCAGGCCACCTGCTCCTTCGGCCAGCCTCCAGATCCAGACTGCCTTCCACCATCAGGAGCCTCACCCTCCTGCCTACTCAGAAGCTCAAAAGTGGACACTGCCTCTTGTTGGCTTTCTTCAGGGGCAACTCTCGTGCTCTTGTTGGGTGCCCCAACCTAGCACTGCCTCTTCCAAATAATTGTTTCCTCTGCTGGCTAGGACACAGGATACCCCTCTCCTGCCCAGGAACCTGAGCCTCCTGGATCCCATGCTTTCCCTACCCAGCCACCACCTACTTAAAGGCCTAGACCACACCTTCTGGGAGGGGTCAGCCCCCCTCCTCCACAACAAGTGCACATGGCCGTGGAGGGCCAAGGTACTGGGAGGCCACAGGTGGCAGCCCAAGCACTTTGGGCCCTGTCACCCATCTGGGAGTCCTGGGTGTTGTTTCAAGTGCCTGGGTTCAGCCTGACCCAACTCTGATTATTGTGGGAATTTGGGGGATGGGTCAGATGATTGCAAGCTCTCGATCCCTTGGTCACACTGCCTTTCAAATAAATAACTCTTAAAATCATAGCTGGATTTCCTGATTGTTGCACCCCAGGTGGGCAGGAACAGTTGGTGGCTTTGCCTGAATGGGGACTTGGGCCATGGCATCCGAGCCAGGGTGCACAGGACAAAATGTGGTGTGTGATGTGTGTGCCCCTCCCTGACCTAGCCACTCAGCAACAGGGCACATGAAGCACATGACCTTTATTCAGCCAGAGATGTGTACACGGACTGCATCGGCAGTGAGTGGGGGTGGGCAGTCTCTACAGCACTTGGGGGCACCTGTGAGGAGGGATGGGGGGCGGTCAGAGACCAGACAGAAAAGTCCAGCTCGTTCTTCCAGGGCTGAGAGGTGAGGCCTCTGCACGTTGCACAAACCTGCCAGGCTGGGGAGGGACTGTGACCGTCCCTGCCAGTCCAGGAGCTCGTGGGACAGGCCACTCTGTCACAAAGCACATCAGCAGTGGCCTTCACTTCCACAGTAGCAGGGTGGCTTGCAAGGCAGGAAAAAAATGCAGAGGTGAGAAAGAAACACAGGTAGAGCCCAGATGGGAGCCTGAGCCATCTCCTTGGGGTGCCCCCCAAAAGAGCAAAACATACAGAAGATCCAATCCCAGAATGAGACACCAGCTGCAGCTCTCAGGGCTCTGGCCCCCCACCCCTCAGACATAATTCTTGGTGGGGTATTCGGAAGGGCCCCGGGGCGTGGTGTTGGGCACAGATGCTGAGTAATGGGCCATGTAATGGCTGGAGCTCCGGGACCCACCAGAGGGACAGGTGCAGCAAAGGAGCCCCCCGCCCAGCATGAACAGGGCAGCCGCTGCCCAGCCCACGTAGAGGGAAGGCCCCAGCTCTCGTTTTTGGGCTTCGGCCACCAGCGGGTTGTAGAAGTCCTGGATGATGGCGTGGGCTGTCCAGCAGACCGGGATTAAGATCAGAACCCCAGAAAGAATGAAGACGATCCCAGACGTGAGCACCAGGCGGGCCTTGGAATCCTTGTCCTCCACGCAGGTGGTGCACTTGGCCCCAGCGAGGTAGACCAGCAGGCCAAGCAGGGCCAGCAGCAGGGCAACGACACAGAGGGCACGGGCAGCCTGCAGGTCCTGGGGCAGCGCCAGCAACGAGTCGTACACCTTGCACTGCATCTGGCCCGTGCTCTGCACCACGCAGGACATCCACAGCCCCTCCCACACCACCTGGGCCACCACGATGCTGTTGCCGATGAAGGCGGTCACCTTCCACAGTGGCAGGGCGCAGGATACCAGGGCATTCACCCAGCCCAGCAGCGTCAAGACGATCCCCAGGATCTGCAGGGCAGCGGAAGCCATGGCGCGGGTGACAGTGTGGCACTGCATGGGCAGAGAAGCAGAGGGATGTTCAAGAGGCAGTGGCAGTGGGTACCACCCGGGACGCCAACGGCCTGCAGAACAGGTCAGCATGGGGCTGAACAGGTCAGCATGGGGCTGAAGGGCGGGCAACATCAGTCCCAGCAGGTGTACTATATAACCAGCCTGTAGCCCTGCAGTAGTTCAGCCAAGTAGTTCGGCTCCACTCAGCAGGTGCTGCAGCCAGGCCTGGCCCGGCCCTGGCGCGGCAGGTCCCTGGAGGAGCGCTCCCTTCTCCAAGGCTAGCCCTCCGCTTCTAGGGGTCGTAGGGCATGCCATACAGGTAGGGCCCCAAATGCCAGGCCAGGGTCCTCCCAGGAGGTTACTGCTGCACCACCCTGGCCTGTGAGCCTACTAAGAAGGCAGTTAGTACTTTCAGGGGTGCAGCCCAGGCTCCCTATTATTTAAAATTTTTCTGGTTCACAGCGCACCTGATCCTCCAACATCCCCACCCCTCCACTCGCCAGTGCCGCGGACCGTCGAGGGAGGGTGCAAGCCAAATCTTCATTCACTTTCCCAGGGGCTAAGCTCACGACTTCGGGGGATGGGGACCGGGTTTCCTCCTCTGAGTGAGCGCATACCCTAGCCCCCTTCTCTTTCCACCCTCGGCAGGCTTAGTCCCACCCGACGGCTGGGCCGCCCACCTAGGGAACCAGGCCGCGCACCTGTGGAGGGCCTTAATGGCGGCGCGGCCAGCAGGGTCGGATCCAGCAGGTGAGGGGGAAGGGCGCCCCGCCCTAGAAAGGCGAGGCAGGTGGGGGAGGGGTGTCCGGAGTTTCGGTGCCTTTGTCTCTAAGGAGGGGGAGGGGCGCTTAACCTCCTCGGGAGCCGCCGCGGGACCCCGATGCCGCGGCTTTAGGCGCAGTACCCCCGGCCCCGGGACTCGGTCGGCCCCGGTGGCCGCCGCCGGACGCACAGCCCAGATCCTGCGCAGGAACCCCGACCCGCGCCGCCCCCACCCTTGCGCGCAGCCTCAGGCTTCTCTTAAGCTCACCTGCAACTGGAACCGGCGAAATTCCTAGGCCGAGTGTGGGGATGCGGGCGCAGGCGGGGGTCTTAAAGAGGTGTGACGTCACGGGACCACCTCTCCTGGGGAGGGGCAAGAGACCCTGACCCCGACTGCAGCGAGTACTGGAATTCCAGCCCGGACAGAGGGGGGCGCTCGGTGGGCTGGTGGCTGCGCCCGCCGGGGTGCGCGTGGTCGCGGACTCAGGCAGGCTGCCGTGGGGATGCGCAGCCGAGGGGAGGGCGCGGTGTGCTAAGACAAACGGGGATGGGGTCTCGGCCCCAGCGTTTCCTCGCGCTGGGACTCGGGAGCGCCCCTCGCCCTCCGAGGTTCCTGTTCCCACTCTGCAGAATGGAGACAGCACGTGTCTAACGCACCAACCAAGAACTGCGTGTATTTATTTTCTTTTTAAAGATGTATTTATTTTTATTGGAAAGTCAAATCTACAGAGAGAAAGAAAGATGTTCCGTCCGCTGGCTCACTCCCCAAGCGGCCACAACGGCCAGAGCCGAGCAAATCTGAAGCCAGGCGTCTCCTATGGGTCTCCCACGTGCGTGCAGGGTCCCAAGGCTTTGGGCCGTCCTCCACTACCTTCCCAGGGAGCTGGATGGGAAGTAGAGCGGCCGGCGCCCACTTGGGATCCTCGCAAGGCGAGGACTTTAGCCACTAGGCTACCGCGCCAGGGCCCCCCCCAGTGGGGTTTTATGTTGTTATTGTTATGTTTCCGGAGTCCAGACAGCAGCGGCGCACCTGCTTCGGGTCTTCCCTGCCTGTCAACCCCGATCCACAGCCCTCGGACTCGAACACGCGGAGCTGTGGGCAGAGCCTGCGTTGCCTTGCCAAGTCTGGGAGCGGCGGGCCGGCGGGGCGGAGCGTCCCGGGGCACACCGGGGCGGGCGGAGCGCGGACCCGCCCCGGAAGGCGGGGGCGGGCGGGCCCTGGGTCCCCGCCGGCGGCCGGCGGGCGCAGTCGGCGGCTGCCGCGGGACGCGCACCATGGCTAGGCGCTCGTGGCGCTCCTGGCGCTCCTGGCTGCAGCTCCTCGTGCTCGGGCTCGGGCTGGCGCTCCTACGTGCCGCATCCGGGGAGAGGGCGCCAGGTACGCGGGGATCAGCGGCAGCAGAAGGACTGCCCCGGGGACTGGGCGGAAGTGGGGGGACCTGACGGATACTGGGGTCTGGGGCCCGGTGGTCTTCAGGAGGCGCAGCCCCTGCTTCGGGAGACCCTATCCCTCTCTCAAGTTCATCCTCGTGTATATTCGGGCTGGGTTTCTCCGCCTGTGCAGTTGTTGGGGGGGGCGGTGTCTGTCCCCAAAGTCCGGACTACAAGTGGAGAGAGAAAGTGAGTTTGAAGGCGAAGTGTGATGTGGTAAGAGAACGCGCCCTGACTGGTCAACTCGGGGACTGTCCAGCAGGTCACCGAAGAGTTAGGGGAGTATGTCGGGAGACATGGGGGCCTGTGCCCTCTATACCATGTGGGGTGCCCCCTTCCATCCGGTGACTTAAGTGCCCAGCTATGCGGGGGGGAGGGGCCGGGGTCGGGCCCGGTGCCCAGGAGTGAGTCACCCGCTCGCAGCCAGGCGGGGGGTTATGAGGACCTAATGCCTCCCCTCCAGCGCTCCTGGGCGGCCGGGGTGGGGGAGCCTAATCCCCGGTCAGGCCGTGCGGTCACCTGTGAGGAATGTGGGGGGAGGGCGCCGGTGACTCACGTTACTGACTGACCCTGACCTCAGCCCCCAGAATAGCCGCGCCCCACCCCCAGTTCTGACCCACCGCCCCCTCCCCAGGCACCGCCCCCTGCTCTCACGGCAGCGCTTGGAGCACGGACCTGGACAAGTGCATGGACTGCGCGTCGTGCCCGGCGCGACCGCACAGTGACTTCTGCCTGGGCTGTGAGTGCGGGACGGGGCGAAAGGACCTCTCGAGTGGGAGTGGGATCTGACGGGAGTGGGGAGAGGCCGACCTCTGACTTGGGTCCTGCCTGCAGGCGCAGCGGCACCTCCCTCCACCTGGCGGCTGCTCTGGCCCATCCTGGGGGGCGTCCTGAGCCTGGTTCTCGTGCTGGGGCTGGTTTCTGCCTTCCTGGTCTGGAGAAGGT